TCCTTCCTTCCTTCCTTCCTTCCTTCCTTCCTTCCTTCCTTCCTTCCGTCCATCCGTCCTTCCTTCTTTCGTTCAAAATAACATGATAGCCGTCTAATTCCTAATTCCTAGTCATATTTTTCATTTTTTAAAACTATGTAGGATGAACTTACTAAAAGAAAAATTAAACAGATGGGGCTATGAATGTAGCTCAGTGGTAGAGTGCTTGCCCAGCATTCACAAGACCCTGTGGTGTGTGTGTGTGTGTGTGTGTGTGTGTGTGTGTGTGCGCACACACACATGTGCATGTTACATAAGTAAAAACATTTTGGCATTTTTGTTCTCATATTAAATATTATTAAAACTTGCCTAATTATTATGAAAATGAAGATAGGAAAGACAAATATTTTGAGTCTACTTATATGAAATACATAAGGGTAATCAGATTCATCAGGCTAGAGAACAGAATCTGGCCCAGGGACTGTGGGTGGATGTTACTGTTTAATGGTTGGCAGCGTTTCAGTGGGTTGAGGAAGCTTTGGAGATAATGGAACGAATGATGATCTCGTGAACTGTGAATATGTTTCATGGTACTGTACACCTGCACATGTTCAAAATGGGAAACTACGGTGTGCATGGTTTATCACAATTAAAACATTTTTAAAAAGCAATGTATATGCCTTGCTTGAACCTACATGGCTGTTTATTGTTTTTAAGTAAGGCCCTGAAATAATAGTTAATGTAGTAGAAATTTAAAAAAACAAACCATAAAGTCCTAGCAAGATGTCTCACAGACGACAGAGGAGTCCTTTCCTGAAGGGACATAGCTTTATTGTAAATCTGAGTTTGCAGTGTGTCTCTGTCTTAAATTCCCAAAGAAGGCCCAGAGATGGGAAGAATCCGAGTTTATCCTGATTGTTTATTTTATTTTATTTTTGAGACAGGTCTCTCTGCATAGCCCTGGCTGTCCTGGAACTCGCTCTTTAGACCAGAGATCCCCCTACCTCTGCCTCCTGAGTGCTGGGATTAAAGGCGTGCGCCTGGCTGTCCTGATTGTTTATAATTTGCGTTCCTACCAAAGAGGACTCAGTGTCCATTGATAATGCTTTATATAGAATTATAGTGTTATATTTTTATTTTTTTAAATTTTATTTACTTATGTATTTGTTTTTAGATATGAGTGCTCTGTCTGCACTTATAACTACGTGCCAGAAGAGGGTATCAGATCCCACTATAGATGGTTGCAAGCTACCATGTGGTAGCTAGGAATTGAACTCAGAATCTCTAAGAGCAACCAGTGTTCTTATCCATTGAGCCATCTCTCCAGCCCCATTGTTATGTTTTGATAGAAGAATCTTTGTTTATGTGATTAAAACAAAAGTGTCTCGCATGCAGCTATCAGCAAAGAGGAGAGAGGAGATGGACAACTTCATATACCACCCTCCTAACCTGAGAAGTACTTCTAGACCAGTGGTTCTCAGCTCCCCTAATGCTGAGACCTTTGATAGTTCCTCATGTTGTGCTAACCCCCAACTGTAAAATTATTTTTGTTGCTTCTTCATAACTGTAATTTTGCTACTGTTATGAATCATAATATGAATATCTATGTTTTCCCCTGGTCTTAGGCGACTCCTGTGTAAGAATCCTTCGACCCCCAGGTTGAGAACTGCTGTCCTGGACCGTTAGGGACCTTGACTCAGACCAAACCAGGGTTTACAGCTTTGACACTGGGAAGAATCTTGGGAGTAGCCAGTTGAAAGCAGATTGTAGATTTTATTAACAATATTTTGATCCAGGCTTAAGTACGAGACTTAAGAAAAAGAGACCCCCCAAAGAAAGAGCTGCAGATGTTGAGATGTACCCCAGTGTGAGTATAGGCTCCTCAAGGGAGAGTGAGCGATGCTGTGTTTACCACTCTGCTGGCTTAGGCTGCATCTGGAAAGGCCGCTCAGAAACCTTTATTTTTCCTTCTCTCATTTGATAAGTGGAAGCATGAGGTGGCTCTGGAGAAGCCTCTGGTGGAGTTCTGATGAGGTGAAAGTAGGAGCCACAGGATTGCAGGGTCCAGTTTGTGCCCTCTGCTGGCGAGATTCCTGGGAGCTGCAGGGTTCTGGCCGGGAAGGGAGAAAGGCCACAAGCAATTGTGGGAGTCTGTTCTGCCTCCAGCACATTCCTGGGGCACAGGTTCTTTCCCCATTTTGGCACCAAGATTTTTACTGTCTCAGAACCAGCCTTGGTGATACACATCTAGAATCTCAGCACATGGGAGGCTGAGACAGGAAGATCAAGAGTTTGAGGCCAGTCTGGACCCAGACTCAGAGAGAAAAGAAAAAGAAAATCTGTAATTTGAATGTTGGGGTCATAAAAGTTTTGAGAAACTGGGATGAACTACCCTGACTTGTGAAGTTATGAGATCCAGAGACATGAACAGGGGTGCACTTTGTGCACACCTCACTTCAGCTCTACACCCCAGGGAAAATGCAGACAAATTCAGTCTGTCTTCCTGAGCTGGTTGAGAAAAGAAGGTTACGAATGACTACAGCATCTCAACTTGTAAATGAAGGTCGGGATCTTACTAGCAGTTACACGTGCGTGCACACACACACACACACACACACACACACACGTGCGCGCGCACACACACACACACACACTCATGACCCTCCCTCCCCTCCAACAGGCACACATACACTATACATACACTTACACACATACATACACATGACCTTTCCACTCCCCTACAGGCACACACATACACACTCCTTTTCTTTTCTTTTTTTAATCCCTGCCTGTTTTATTTATTTATTCATTTATTTTTGGTTTTTCTTTTTTAATATTTATTTATTTATTATGTATACAATATTCTGTCTGCGTTATGCCTGCATGCCAGAAGAGGAGACCCCATTACAGATGGTTGTGAGCCATCATGTGGTTGCTGGGAATTGAACTCAGGACCTTTGGAAGAGCAGGCAATGCTCTTAACCTCTGAGCCATCTCTCCAGCCCCCCACACACTCCTTTTCTAGCGCGCGCGATCTCTCTCTCTCTCTCTCTCTCTCTCTCTCTCTCTCTCTCTCGTGCATGCGCGCGCATGCACACATACACACACAATAATCTTGGAAAGATTTACTTGCCTGGGTGTAGAACTCTAGTTGGAAAAATCACTTTTCCTTGAAACAATTTTTCTTTCTCTTTTTAAAAAAATCATGTCTTTGAGATTTATTAATGTAATTCCAAAAACCAGTTTAAAAACTTGGTAATTAATATGCTATTTTGAATTACCCCCCCGACTTTGGAAAATTACTAGTTTTCTTGTTTTTTTTTTTAAACTTTATTGTTTAATTACGTATGCAGTGTTCTGCCTGCTTGTATGCCTGTATGTCAGGAAAGGACACCAGATCTCATTTTAGATGTCTGTGAGCCATTTTAACTCCTGCTTTTGTCTTCTGCTTATGGTTGTTTTGTGGATTCACGAGCACAGCATTAAGACCCTAAGCATTACATTACCCACACACTGACATGTATGGACAACTGTATTTAGGTTAAATGCAAGCATGTAGATGTTTCTATTTTTTGATTTACTAGATTTTTCTGGGTCTTATGTTTATTTTGTTTTCGCTTGATTTTTCAAAACAGGATTTCTCTGTGTAGCCTTGGCTGTCCTGGAACTCACTCTCTAGAGCAGACTGGCCTGGAACTCACAGAGATCTGCCTGCCTCTGCCTCCCAAGTGCTGGGATTAAAGGCGACCACCACTACTTACTTGGCTTTGTTTTGTTTTTAAGAAAGAAGTCTCGTTCTTTTGGTGGTTTCTTTCTGTTCATGAAATCCTGGAGATTGATTTCCTTAGCTGACATGGGTTTTTTTCTACTGTTACCTGTTAATACTGTGTAGAGAGCTAGAAGATGTGTGTG